TTCCCTCGGCCGTGGATGCTGCAACGGTACCCGTTGACGAGACCGTTCCCAGTGCAGACGGTGGTTCAGCTGTCCTAAAGTGTGATGACTTACGACTGACAGCTTCGCCCGGCGGCGCCCCTACTCAACTCCCCGTCATCGATACCAACCTTTCCTCAAAGTTGGTGGCGGAAGCAGCTTCTGAACCACCAAAACTGGTAACCGTCAAAGCCCTGCTGACTAGACCTCTGGTCATTCCTGAGAGTCCCACCGCTCTCTTGGACATTTCTATGTCAGCGAAACAGGTAGGTAGCCTGTGCATATTTTGTGCATATTCATTCGACAGTATTACGACAGAATTTGACCAGAGAAGTGAGCTGACAAGGATAGAAACAAGCTCCGAGGATGGAGCCGGAGGTAGATGGGTCAAGTCTAGGGTGGAATCCACTAAGGTATTCGCTTACTCGTTAAAGATTCCCTATGAGTAACACTACAGTAACATAAAAACCCACGTTTGTATAATACGGGACTGGTAATAAAAGGGGTTAAGTGGGTGGGTCAGATCAAATTTCTGGCGCGTGATAATTAAAATGGGAAGTATCACCGATAGGAAACGAGAAGTGTGCACCGTAAGCTTGCCTTCCTCTCAGGACCGTTTAGGACAGTGATGAAGTCACCATTACCCACGCCCTTATCAAAATCAGTTGGAGAAGTAAGAGCCCCAGACAACTGCGATGACGATCTTGAGAAACAAAAAAATCGATACTTGGGTCATCTCTTGATCGGCCGTCGGCATAACCCCTTTGATAGCGGGTGTGTTTGAGCTGCGCACAAGCAGACTGCAGGGTGCACGCAAGTGTGATAGGAAGGAAAGGGGGAGTTGGCGCCGCGGAGCTGAGTAATGTCAGCACAGACTTCAAAAAAATTCCGTGTGGAGAGTGCAATGAACTGGTAAATTCTGAATATGCCCATAAAAACAAGCTTACTACGATGAAATAAGTAGTTAGTTATATATAATAAACCATATATTGTTACCTATAAGGAATTGTTCTTGCCTCCTGTGCTATATGAGGAAGCGTAGACCACAAATAACTGTTCCATCTTACT